TCCCTAACACAGATTTCAAAGTTGAATTCCTTTCGGTCTCATCCAACGGTGTTTATTCAATCACCGCGTGGTGAGTGGTGGTGTGTAGGGGCCTCCCTTAGCTCGGTCGGTAAAGGCGCAGTTACAAAGCAAAACCATGCTGGAGGTGGCTGAGTTCGATTCCCGGTCCGGTCTAGGAATTTTTCGGGTTGGAAAATGGTGTTGTATAAACAGAGTGAACCCCGCTCAAATTCATATTCCTACACAAAACACAAGCTCCTGCTGCAGTTAACAAATAAGATTTCTTAGATAAGACCACGTAGTCCTACGTCACCATTGCGTACAACCAACCCCATAGGGCTGTCCCTTTTAGTTTTTTTAAACATGAGCAGTTCGTTCGACTTTAATTGGTTTTCGTTATTGTTTGGCACTATAACACATACGGATACAAAGTATGCAAATACATTGTTTTTCCTTCTTTTTTAAAAGCTGATCATAATTTTCACAAACTATCGTTCAAGTTTTGGCTGGTTATGCTATGTTTCAGATCAGCAAAGGTTCTTCGTAATAATATTACGAAATTTGGCCTAAACACCATTCGGCCTAGTGGCTATTCGGCCTAATGACCATTTGACGGTCTATTAACCCAGCATCTCAAACTTTTAGATTGATATTTTTGGAGCTGATTTTTGTGCTCTTAATTTTTCTAAGTGAAAAGAGGGTTCATCAGAAATAAGGCATTAACAAATTATGGCACATTATTCCAAGAATTTACATCATGAAAATCATAAAGAGAGATATACGGATTAGTAATTTCCATTTGATTCCACTGTCTTATTTGCTTATCCTTGGCAGATACGCGTATTTCAAGCTAATCATTGAATTGCAATGTTCAGTTTGATTTCATCTAAAATGTACAGACTTCTTCAGTCTTCTTCTTCTTCGCATTTCAAACTCAATGCTTATCGCATTTTAGCTTATTGCGTGCTCTCAACTTAGTGTTCTAGATGCACTTCCACAATTGTTAATTGAGAGCTTTCGATGCCTGTACCATTGTTGCATTAGTATAATTGTGTGGCAAGTACAATCATACTCTATGCCCAGGGAAGTCTAACAATTTTTCAACCCGAAAAAACTCCTAGACCGGTCCGGGAATCGAACCCAGCCACCTCCAGCATGGTCTTGCTTTGTAGTTACGCCTTTACCGACTGAGCTAAGGGAGGCCCCCTTCTTCAGTGTCTTGTACTAATACTCAACTGACGAAAACATCGTAACTTAACTTACACACTAAGAAAAATTGATGTAAATGTAGGTGCTAAGAGACTGAAATATACGAGCGTCGCAAATGGCTTCTCCAGATAACCACAGATAGCATAAGAATGTGCACACTAAATCGCATTTAAGTTTGCCGCAAATCAAAATCCCATATAGAGCATTCCATCTTGATCAAATTCAAGATGAGATTAATGCAAAACTGCGATTTTCTCAACTGCTCGTAAATGTTTACACCTCTCTATTGCGTGGAGGTGCCGTGGAATCTAAACCGACTCAAGATCCAATCGTTAACATAATCTGATGCTTTTCATCAAAATCAAAATCTTTCCAAGTCCAAGTAAGCTTTTTGAAGCGCATAATTTATCACTGATATAATCCTCCGTACTAATAAGTGCTTATATGGTGTAGTCTTCAGCTCTTTTTGACGCTACACGGGCTGGCGCTTTTGGTTTAATGTTCATATAGGAGATTTGGTTGAAATTTTCATTTAAAAATGTTCATGTACATTCAAATGCGTATATCTCAATAAAACTAAGTGGATTCATGATGCAATCTTCAGCAAAGTTGTTACGACATGTTTTGAAAATCTGAATCAAATCGGGAATAAGGAATCTTTTTAATGATCGATACAGTCTAGGAGTGTCATTTTGTCATGCATTTTATCCGAATCCCTCATACAAAGTTTAAACTAAAAGCGCCAGCTCATCTTAGGCCCAAATGAGCTGAAACTTTCGGATAATGGTTTTCTCACCTAAAGGCACAAATCTAAGGGTTGGCCCATGTAAAATTAGAACTTTTATTTTTGTGGGCCAGTCTAATGTATATGGCCTCCACTTTGGAACGTATATATCAAATATGTGCATCTTATACGACTTGGGTGGTTCTTATATCACTGTGTATATTCGGAATTATACGGACCAAAATGTCTTGCTGAATTTTGTCTAGGAATCCAGTTCCCTAAAATGGAGCAATCCGAAACATGGTTTAGCTGAAATTTACAATATTTGGAAATCTGTTTACCTGTTTGTAGTATTATTGCGGAAGCAAGAAATACTGGAATGGCCTTCTTTTGAGCTGGAACATCCAGAAACTGCGCAAAACGGTCGACCCATTGTGTGTGTGTGTGTTTTTTTTTTCAAAAAATTCAAACAGTAAATAAAACGATCCAGATGGTTTAGAGGATGAGTTAACAGAGAAATTGGCAGATTCCGGCGGTACATGGTCCATGAAACTACTCTAAACTAAGTAATATTCAATTTTTCTAGGCTTCTAACTCTTCTATAATGAGCATTTTGTCGCGGCTCATAACTTAAAACAAATATCTAAGATTAAATATTATTTTTTTTAGACTAATGTTGTTTTTTTTTCTATAACACATTATATTCTGTTTTGCCATAACCTTCAGTTTGAGTAAAATTGCAATATAACTTAAACAGGTAATTTTTCACAATTCAGGGTACGTTTGATTGAGCTATATTTCGCGTCTGTTATGACTCAAATTTATGTCAAAATTGACGCTCGTATATGTCACTCTCAGAGCACCTAAATTTACATGAATTTTTCTAAGTGTGTACTCTGAGTTCAATTTTTCGCTTTTCAAAATTATGTCTAATGACCCATTCGGTCTAATGGCGCTCGCACTAATGCAATTTGTCCTAATGGCATTCGATCTAATGGCACGATCTGTAGTCGAATGGTTATAATTTATTCCTTTAGAGAAATCTTCCCAGCTTTTGTGTTTTGCATCGCATATTATCTGCCTTGTTTTAGTAAACAGTTGAGGCTTGCTCTTTGTCAGGATAGTTCCTCGGGAGCATCTTGGTGGCACGCATATATTTCCGCCAAACCTCTATGACCGCTTCGATATCAGAAGTCTACCAGTGAAGAGTTTTTATTCTCGGGTGTGGATATCTCCTGAAGATACATATAGTCTACGACTGACATTTCAAAAGCTGACTCGGGGTTTTCTGAAAGTTGTGGGTGGCTTGTCGTTTGAGTAAACGGTAATGAGGTAGTGGTCGCAGCCCAGTGGTTCTTCCGAGCATGTCCATAACAGTCGTCGGTTGACAATTATTGTTTGTCCTCGTCCGAAATATGTCCTGCCGTACTGTCAAGCTCTAATCGATGATGTTTAAACCATTACCAGTTAGGGTGATGTCTAATCATATATAATCCATTCGTTCCAATAAGTCATAAGCTTATATTGTTGTTTTTGTTTTACTCCGATGAGGAAGGGATATTCAATGCGGACATCACGATGACGAATTTCTGAAAAACAAAATTTATAGCAAAAATTCTCTAGACTTGACTTTCAATTGAAATACGCTGGATGTGCCCTTGAAGTCCATAATTGTGCATCCAAGTTAAGCAAACAGTACCAAATATCTCCTCTTTGTTCAAAGCACTGATTTCATCACCTTTTACTAACATTATTCTGTGCGGTAATTTATTCAAATTAGAAAGTTAAAACCAATAGTATATTTATTCTTATCATCCTTTATTTATGCTTAACGCATCACATAAGCTTACCATCAAACACCCTTAATCACAATTTATAATTTCCAACTTCTTTTTTGTTTTTTGTTTAATTTAGCTGTTGGCGCTTTGGCGAAAATAGGCAAACTGTCCCGCTCGGGCACATTAGAAAGCGTACAGTTTTAAGCCAAAACCCCCCTCTCAAGCCACCGAACGAACGAGTCCGGGAACAGTGTGAGATCGAGAGATGAGCGCGTGTGTGACCAAATTGGAATGCTTTAGCTGAAAACGAAACAAAAAATAAACAAAACAACAATGCTTCATCAACCGACGCTCATCTAGTTCAAATTACCATTTGAAAACACAAGACACCACCCAGACACTCGCACGCACAAGAACACACAGCCACACTACCCGCACTTCAGCTAGCACCAACAGGTTCCCACCCCACCCACGCCACGACGAGAATGGAAACAATCTGGCTGCTGCTTCCCCTGATTGAAAAATATGGAAAACTTCGTCGCAAAGATTGGATTTCCCTGCAATGCAGACCAAAAAAAAAAAATTGTTCGGAAGTGAAACTTTTCCTCTGCGGTTGGTTGTCCCCCGTCTCCCCGGACTGCAGTAAAATTCTGCACAAATTGTACCCTCCGGAGTGCTTCCTCGATTGGTGTGTTCGGTAATGTGATGCTTCCAGTAAAGTGCACCCGGTTGAATGATCGTTTGGGTGTATGTGTTGCGAGCGGAAAACTTTTTTACTGTGCGTAAAGTTGTAGAATGTTATTCAATGCTTTGTATAGTAGATAAATTAGTCCCACTATGATTAATTCCACTAAATGCATTACCCCCCCGAATTGGGTCTCAAATCCACCTAGATGTAGAAGATTATATTTACCATCCTAACCAAAATCTACCACATAAACATAGACATTCATATTCGCATCGTAGGCATTTAGATCTTCTATGTTAAAGGAAGTCAGATCAGCAATTTCCAACAGGTTTCCTATTTTGTAGATCAATTAGTTATGTCAGAGTAAGAAGTCGAGCGAGGGATGGTGTGATTAATTAATGCTTTATCGCAGTGCCTTTTTATTTAGTCTACGTTGCTCCCCCATCTCCAAATCCTCCAACAATTACAATTAATTAAAGTGATCGGCAGCTTTCCAATTCATTAACTCGAAATTTGCCATATGTCTTCCGAACACCTTGGGGGAAGTTTTCATTTAACTGTTTTGATTTATTTTATATTTCACTCAACACACAATCATCAGTTTCGAGGAAGCTGCCGGCTGCCGAAAAGATCCAATAGGGTCACGAACAAAATCATCATCGGAAATTTTCATCATACGTTGCAATATTTAAATTAATTTAATCACTTTACGATGTAAGATTGAAGGAGCTGATCGCCTTCCAATGAAATCACATGAGTATCGTTTTCTTTTTCCTTGTGTTAAGTCATACCGTGTCAGATGAACCAAATCGTTACTTTAGCTTTAGTTTCTATTTTATGTTAAGTTTGCCTTTAAGAAAAGTCACATTGTGTTAAAATGGTTCACTTTAGTTAAGAGATGTTAGACCGATTCAGGCTTGCTTCAGTCACTTGTCCCGTTTTGTTTAGGTATGTTTTGTTTTTGATTGTGTGAAATTTTGAGAAAAATGTGAAAGTATAATAAATATAAGCATAAACACAAAAAAAAAACCTAGCGCTTTATGATAATTTGTTTTGAATTTTTGTTTGCTTGATGACATTCACTCCACGGTGATTCATGAACCACGTTGAGACCGGATCAAAAAAAAATCAAATTATTCCGCCCGCGGTCTAACGTGCATTGTGAACACCTTCACGACAGGATATATGTTTTCGTTGCAAGCGTACTACCTGCACCGAACTGGACTGTAGCAGTTTGAATGAATTTTGCTTCGCAGTTTTTCTAGAGCACACTCTCCGGTTTGCGTTACTGTTACGTTTTTATTTTGTTTTTTTTTTCTCTAGTGAGCAGTTATACGAGCAACTTCCGGTAAAATTATTTTATCAGGTACAAGGGGTATAGTCTTCATTAATACCTATTATGATCAAAAGATCTATAAAGTTCATTGTCGTAACCAGACATTGCTTTTTATTTATCCAACCAAAATCAAGTTCATATCGTTAGTAAAATTACTTTTCATAAATATATTGAGCATATTTTTGCACTTGAAGGTGATTATCATAAGATTGTGGATAAAATATAAAACATCCAAAACAATACCGGTAACATTGATTTCGAGACATATTAGTGCATGTAACCAGGCGTCCAATTCAACGCTCATGTCGTAGTGAAAACAGAGCTGTCAATAGTCATTCACGTCATAAGAAGTAGAAGAAAAACACAAAGCCCCCTTCATCGATTTGGGCTTTGCCGCATCTAAAGAGCCTGAATTATACTCCGTTCACATTAGAGCCTATATTACGCAATATAGACTGTCTTGCAATGAGCACTCATACATAGGATTTCCAGTGAAAACTAGATGTATGAGTGCTCATTGCAAGACAGCGTATATCACGTGATATACGCTGTAATGTGAACGGGGTATAAGAATTTTTCGGGTCAGAAAATTTCTCGATTTCCGCATCCATTAGTTTTCGTCGTGTTGCATACAATTTTCTGCCAAGAAGGAGGGTTGCTGAAGTCGCCACCATTGGTGCTGTCAGCACTGTAGCCTACAGTTTTTATGTTATGTTTATATGTGGTTTAACCAACAATCAATACGAAACTAATGATTTTAACTTGGCTCACTACTTGACTAGCCTATTGGTCCCAAGCAAATCGATTAACGTACCCCATTCTAGTAAAAATTCTAGTACTACACAATGTTTGTTTTGATTCGCTATGAAAGTTTGACAGATAAAATGTGGGGTTATTGGATTTTCCTATGTTTCGAGGGGTGAATCGATTAGCTTGGGACCGAAGATAGTACCAGAGCTGAGCCCAAAAAGTTGAGCACGTTTCTTCGGGACCTACTAGTCTTAGAGTTACCTCTATGGTTTAACGACACGTTTGCATTAAAAAAAAAATTATACATGAATTATCATTAATAAAACGTGAATTTTTCTTGATTAGCATGCCGAATTAAAATAAATACAATAAACATTTAATGCCTACATGTACGCATGTGTTTAACATAAACTCATTATTATTTTGTAGCGCAACAAATCAAACATTTATGTGAACGGAGCTTAATTGCTCAATGTTTGCATCAGCTGTCTTGGATTGACAAATAATCGAACCAAAGAGCCAAAAACATTGGCTTCAAGTGCAATTTTGGTGCATGACGTTTCTGCCACCGGAGTGGTTGCATACGAAGCATGACGTTAGTCTTGCGACCACAAGCGACGACGATTCCTAATTTTACTTCGTCGCAATCTTGAATCAAACCGACTGGAATGTAAAACTTGTCTCATCTAGTACACATTTTTGTCGCGTTGAACACTTCGACCAAGATGAACTTGTCATATCCAGGAGGACCAGTGCTACCGATTTTTTATCATGTTTTTTTTTATTTCCAATATGAACATAGCATTTTTCGTTGTCAAATCATAAACGAATCGTATATATGCGAGTAATTGCCATGTATACCGGATATTCTAGATTCTCCAAACCGTCCTGGAGTTCAGTTGATTTGTTCTACTATATCAACCAAGACTGCAATAATGTCTGTAGTATCGAAATATGTCCAAACAGATTCAAAGTGTCTATGTGGATTGTACCCGACCTATTGCTACGTTTACAAGATGTTATAGGTTCTGAAATCATTCTGGAGATCAGATTATTTTTCTACTTGATCACCCAAGACTAATTCAATATCTGTAGTATCGAAATATGCCCAAACAAATTTGCAGTGTCTATGTGGATCATGCCAACCTATTTCCGTGTATGCCAAATGTTCTAGGATTTCCAAATCGATATTTCGATACTACAGATATTATCCTAGTTTTTGTTGATCTAGAAAAACAAATCATCTGAAGTGCAGGACGATTTGGAGAACCTAGTCATCTGGTATACGTGAAAATAATTAAACATTATCCATATAGAGACTATGAATCCAAACAATATTTCGATGCTACAGACTTTATGACCTAGTAGAATAAATCATCTGAACTCCAGAACAATTTGGAGAACTTAAAACATCTGGTATACATGGCAATAGTTCATGCATGATCCACATAGACACTGTGCATTTGTCTGGAAATATTTCGATACTAAATACATTGTCCCAATCTCGGTTGATCTAGTAGATCAAATTATCTGAACTCCAGGACGATTTGAAGAACCTACAACATCTGGATTACTCGGAAATAGATCATGCATGATCCACATAGACACTTTGAATCTGACTGGACATTTTTTGATACTACAGACATTATTGTAGTCTTGGTTGATTTAGTAGAACAAATCAACTGATGTCCTGGACGATTTGGAAAACCTATAATTTCCGGTATACATAGTAATAAGTCGTTCATGATCCACACAGTCACATGAATACGATTCGGCAGACCCCAAGGAATATCCGTGTAGATACAGAACCGCGACGTGACCAATAAGTGTGACTTATGAAACTCTGGCAATTGCTCGATTATGTGCAGGGTGTTTGGTTTGAATCGGTCAAAAATTGAGAAAACTAGAGCCAAATTAACTACAACATTTAGGACACCAAAATACGTCAGAGACGCAAAGGTTAACTTTCAAGAAAATTTGCATTTCAAATGAAAATACATAAATTTTTTAAATAATGTTTCATCAAATCTAGGCCGGTATTATTCAATAGAAGCTCATAATGTAAGGGTGTTACATAATTACTCAGAATTTATACTATACATAATTTTTTTTTTAAGTTTACAAACGATACTCCTTTAGCTCAGTTGGTAAAGACGCAGCTACAAAGCAGGTCCATGCTGGAGGCGACTGAGTTCGATTCCCGTCCGGTCTATTAATTTTTGGGGTTGGAAAATTCAGGATAGGATGGTACAGGTATAGAAAGCTCCCAATTAAAATGTGAAAGTTGAAGTACTAAGTTGAGAGAAGGCAAAAATCTAATATGCTATAAGCAATAAGCTTGAAATACCATGTAGTATTATACAAATGGTATTTTTGGGTAATGAAAACAGCTTTTTTTTTTGTCGCGGATTAGTATTTGAAGTCGCGGATTTATTTTGAGGAATCGCGGATTTTGCGGATCGATTTTAGAAAATCTTGTAACAGCCCTGCGTTTAGTATACGTGGAAATTTCTGTAAACAATACGATGATTTTTGAGGAATTTATGAAGAAGCTTCTTTACACACGCCCCTCCCCCTACTCCAAAATGAAAAATAAGTGGAAACATTTTTGAAAACTATATTCATTAAAATTATTTGGCAACACTGGTCACGTCGCATGCGAAACGTGCGATCTTGTACAGTACTTGTTCGCTAACTGGGCTAAAAGCACAGTCCAGTTAGTGAATTCCACTCGCTAACTGGGCTGGCTTGTCAAACGTCCAAAAACAATGGGGGAAACTTAAATGGATTGTTTGGTCAGCGTTAAAAAATTTCACGTGCATTGAATTGAAACAGTGTAAAGCTTGTTATTGCTATTTTCACAGCATTCATACTCGCGAATTTTTAAAGGCTTAACGCTTTCGCTAAAAACGCTTTCAATATTTCAGTGTGAAATGAAAATATTTTCAAATTTATTCATATTAAAATTTAAATTTTTATTCGAATGCCCCTCACCCCTTTGACAAAGAAATGTCAAACTAAATGTGACGTCTATTGTTGACGTATAACTGCTTTATAACTGGGCTACAGCCCAGTTATCGAACGCCCACTTAAAAAGTAGCCCAGTTAGCGAACAAGTACTGTATCTGTCATTTTTCAGTTAGTGCTTCAATCGATCAGACGAGCTACCAAAACAATCCGAAAAAATGACTGGAAAACAGCGAAGATTTACGTATTCATCTGCGGATTTGATTCGAAAAGAGGACAATAAAACTGTACTGTGCTATTGATACGATCACTGGATGCAGCTACTATCAAGAAAAATATTATGTGACAAATTTTCTACGGCATTTCCACTCTCAACATCCGGAAGAAGCTGTCCTAAAGGGTGTCCCACATTAAATTGCATCACGGAAAAACACTGTAGAAAATTACCTTGTTGACCGATCCTTTTCAAACTTTCAGACAATAAAATATAACCCATTAGGAAGGTTTTGGCTTATTGATTTCATTTCGCACCCCTTACGCTTAACTCCACTTATTAGGTTCTGTACAACATCTGGCTGCAGCTTCTTTTGTACGGAAACACACTTTTTCCTCATGTCTTCTTCAGATTTGACCTCCTTGGGATGCTTCCGTAGTGCCTGCTTTATAATAGCCCAGTATTTTTTCTATCGGCCTTAGTTCCAGTGCGTTGGGGGGGGGGGGGGGGGGTTCATGTCCTTGGGTACGAAAGTGGGGTGGCTTCGTACCACTCCAGGACAATATTTGAATAGTGCCACGAAGCTAGATCTGGTCAGAAAATCGTAGGGCCCTCGCACTACTTCAACAGAGGAAGCAGACGCTTCTGTAGACACTCCTCAAGGTAGATCTCCCCGTTTACTGCGCACTCCGTTTGCCACATGAGCAGATCGCTTGCCAAATCATGTATTTCTTGGCAAACTTTGAAAGTTTCTGCTTCCTTACTTCCTCCG